ATATATATATATATATTTCGGTGTAATTTTTTTGGGGCCGGGAACCAATTAATTGGTTTTCAGTTATTTCTTATGGGGAAAATTCGATTAGAACTCGAACTTTTTAGGATTTGGTCCGGAGTTCTGAACAGATTAATTTCGAGTTCTTGAGGTACCACTGTATTATTAAACAAGGTTAGGTGCAGCCCAATTTAGCAGAGCCCCCTGGACTTCAGCCTGGGTAAGCCTGTGCATTAAACACCCCTAGACAGCAATGAATCACCACCAATTGCCAAACGGGCCACAAACTCTGCTTTGTGGAAGCCTGCCTCATTTTTATAAATGTCTCCCTTTTCAAAGTCTCTCAGTCCATTTTGTTCAAGTTCCCTATTTAATTTTTTCATTTATAAATGAAAAAATTTCACAGAAATATAACATTTTATAGAACAAGATAACAGCAGCACTCCTCACTTTTAATGCAGCAGTTGTTTCTGCCATCCTGAGCTGTTCTTTAGCCATTAATGCTCAGCATGAGACTAGCCTGAATTTGACCTAACAGTTTAAAAATGGCCACCTGAGATGCCATAGGCTACAGTACACTGATTTTTCTGTTTTTTGATGGCATACATCTACACTTTTATAAGTAGAAGGATGGAAATTGACTATAAAATTGCTGTCCCTGGTATCATGTTTAATGTAGCCTTCTCTGAACATACTGCATGACACCAACAAAGATAGTAAGAGACAATTCAGGTAAGTTAAATTCTGTTTAAAAGATATCAAAAAAGCAGTAAGGCCTTGCAGCCATCACTGACACTTTGATCAGCCCTATAAATAGCCGTGCTCTACTACCACACACAATCACTTTTGATTCTGTGCTATTATTAGTCATGCAACTGTTAACTGTATCAGTAGTCAAGGCAACAGTGAACTCAATATCACACTGGTGAGTTACTGCAGATTCACACACCAATGCAACATTAGTAGTTAGTAATTTTCAGGCAATTTTCCTTTAATTAGTCTGCTTAAGCAATTAACTTCTATACCTCCAGCACAGGCTTGTATTTCACTTCCAGTGGATGCTCGATGGGGGCTGAAAGAGACATTTCCCTTGGTTAGAATGACGTAATGAAGTGAGGACGACGAATGATGGCAGCCCAGCGTGAGACCATTAGTGCTCTAGCAAAATCTCCTACTCCATCGTGCCTCTCAGGTCATTGTAACAGCGGGAACAGCTGAAACCGGGAGTTTTAACTGAAACAAATAGGCGACAAGAGGACAAAAAAGAGACTCAAACAAAAAGGGTCTGGAACGCGCTGAAGGAGAAATACATACGTTTTATCTTCCACATCCTGCAAATGTGTCGATGCTGCCACTCTTAGCCCTGGAAAGTATTAATAAACAGTGAGCGGACGTGCCTCCCACACGACACACAACCCGGCTGGGTGGGGGGTGGGGGGGGGGCACGCATTGCAGGGCTAAAAACAATGTGCCTCTGCGCTAATTATATCTGCATTGTGATGGACACACACCTGTCAAAGGGGAGAGAAGCCACACAAGCAGGGGTACTGGCATCATACATTTATTTATGCCAGGGTTCCCCATTTACGGTCCTGGGGGAGCAGAATCCAACACAGTTTGCAGTTCCCTGCTGAAATCAGCTAACCAACCAAGTTTAGTAGATGTGTTTTGAGCAGGGAAATCTGCAAACTGTGATAGATTCTGGTCCTACAACCTTGATTTATGCTTAACTGTGGTTCAGAGAGCAGAGGCAGACAGTATCCCTGGAGCAGTCGAGGTTCAGGGCCTTACTCAAGGGCCCAAAAGTGATATGATTGCCAGTTGTGGGATCTGAAACCACAACCTTGTGGACATGGGGATAGAGCCCTACCCAGTCAAGCAACACACTACCCTTATGCACGTTTGGTGTGTAAGTTTATCATGTTAATATGAATGATGTTTAAATTAGAACAACTGAAATCATTTAACATTTGCAGAATCACACATGAATTTATAACGGTCCTGGAAAACATCTCCGGAAGCCTCTATTCATACCCCATGTGATCATATACCTCATCCTAGGGGAATCCCTTACAGTGTGACAACAGAGTGACGACGTGCCAACAGATGGCAGCCATCAGCACCCCGAGGGACAATCGCTTGGCTCGTTAATTAAATATGTTAGCAAAATGTGCAAAATTGCCACCTTAATCCCAGAAGCTCAGCTGTCCGCTCGAAACTGCACGTCACCATTAGTGGACAAAACTGCGTCCACGGAAAAGAAGAACTACTATAAACAAATGTGAAGAAGAGAAGTGGCTGCTCCACAAGCAGAAACAGCCTGGAAGCTCGACCCGGGTCAGCGGATCTCCACTGATTTAGCCTCAGGACACACATCCTTAAATTTTGAAGAAAATTTATTTCACTGAAAATACTGCAATGCTGGTAAAGTAAACGTAACAGCAAACAAAAATGGGAGAGGATTTTTTTTTTTTAAATACATATAATTTGTAATACCTGCAAACAAAGTGGGGTGGGGGGGGGCTCTACAATTTGTCAAGCAAAAAAAAATAAATAAATAAACGATATTAAAGAATTATTAAAAATAATACTTTTTAACCCAAGTCCCACTGGAAATGGTCCCACGACGCACTTTTGAGTGTTGAGAAACAGTGGACTGGCTTTGAAATGCAAGTCATACAATCCAGCCTTCTAGAGCAGCAATAAATAATTCCAGAACTTAATATGCTGATGTATCAAAAATAAATTATCAATATTTCTATTATACAAATCAGATAGAATGGTTATATGATGGTAAATAAATGAAATGCATAAATGATGACATTTTATCCAAAGTTGATTAGATGAAAAATAAAGTTATTGGTGAAAGAAACTGAGCTCCAACTCATTGCTTGACCAAACATAAAATGACGTACAGTATTCAGAAGACATGCTGCCTAAAATAAATCCTGTCATGATGCGGGTAACAGTCATGTGCACTGTGATGTCCTGTTGATTCTGAAAGTTTCTTTAGAAAGCCTGAGATGTAAATAAGTAACTTAAATGTACACCATACACTGCATGAATGTCAGATAATGTTTTTTTTTTTTTTTTTTTTACATAGAAACATACTAAAATGCGTAGATTCAAATGAGTATGATTCACAGCATGGAAAATGTTATCAGAATGAAGAAATACTCAGTAACCTAGATATAATACAGATACAATACTGCTCAGAACAAAATAAAAGACCTTGGGAAATCAAGTAATTCTTATCAATGCGTAATTAAGCTAAATAAAAAAAAATTGAATTTAATGATGTAAGAAGGGGTGAAGTGAAATTTTGTATTTTGAAGTGAGGCAGAAATGCAGATTGGAATTAATGAAAGCAACCAAAGGTAAAAATGGAAACGGCCATTAATTCATTGATCTATTTCCTTTTCACAGGCACTAGGGCTATACATATCTAGGCCCCAGCAAGCAAAACGTACAGGCTAGGTGACAACCATCAGGGTACTCTGACACTCACACAGAAAATGACATGCTAACAGGAAGTTAGCACTAACAGGAAGTTAATGACAGATCCGTCTTGCTGATTTGCCCATGGCTGTCAGAGTGGCTCTGTGGTTGGCACCGTCACCTCATGCCTCTGGGCTTGCGGGTTTAAACTGTCTTGCTATGTCTATGTAGAGCTAGCGTGTTTCCTTTTGTCATATGGGTTTCCTCCTCCAGTCCAAAGACACTCAATCACATCTCAAAATATCCAGCCTATACTGTATGATTGTGTGTGCTTGGTGATCGACTCATATCTTGTCTAAAGTATATCCCTGTCTGGTGTCCTGTGCTGCCTTTGGGCAGATCAATATCAATATATTGGCAATATCAATAAATACAGTATTTTTTCCTCATTGATTTTTTTCCAGCTATATCGATATAATCAAAAAAATCCAAGTGAGAAGAGTTTTCATTCTATTTTCACCAGGTGAAACCGTGTTATCTGATTGAAAGACAAACACAAGATTAATCTTTTTTTCTTGTAGTACTGTGATAAGCACACCCCACCAAAAAGACGTAATTCCAGCAATGACATCCCAAACAGCAATGCTGGTTCACCAATATTATATACAGTTGAGGAAAAAATTAAGAGACCACAGCAAAATTTTGTTTCACGCCCGGACAGGTGACCACGCCCACCTAGGCGGGGCAACAGCTGAAACCACTTCACGTGGACATCGGCGCCGTATAAAAGTGATCGAGTCAGGAACAGCGGCGCGAAGTATTGTTGCCTTTATCTAATGAGCCTTACTGAGCACTCGCTTGTCTTTCGTCTCTCTCGCCTGCCCTGCCTACCTGACCCGCCTGCCCTGGATCCCTCATCTCCCCAACTCCTGCATGTTCCTGCCTTTTGTCCTTCCCGTCCTTCACGTCCCCTCGTCTGGTGTGTTGACGTAGGACTGACCATCCCGGCTTCCGACCCCTTTCGACTGTACCTGACTTCGCCTCCAGCTCTGTGTTTTGGTTTTGGTTGCTCCGGATTTCCCAATAAAACCACAGTCTCATGCAAACTGGGTCCCATCTCTTGTCTTCGTCTGAAGCGTGACAGTAAAATATACATTTTTTTTTTTTTTTGCGAACTGCAGCCTGGTTGTTCTCTGTTTCTCATTAATGAAGGGCTTCTTCCTTGCTTTATTGGACTTCAGCCCTGCTTCTAGGAGCCTGATACGAACTCTTCTAGCAGTGCACTTCACACCTGCACTTAATGTTTCCCATTCCTTTTGAATGGGAACTTGATGTCTTCCTCCGATTCATGAGAAACTGTCGGATAAGTTAACAGTCACATCTGGCATTAGAAAGTTGCTTCCACCCTTAACCTGGTTGGTATCTGGTTGTTCCCAGTGTCTCCTGCTTCACCTTATTCTTGTGTACTGCTGTCTTAGAAATTTTGAACCTGGGAACATCTTGCTGCTCAGCATAGCCTTCTGCCAGCAGAACCACGATTAAACCAGAATTTACCAATGCACATTTTATAAAAATATGGTAGTCTCTTAATGTATTTCAGAGCTGTATATATAGCGTACTAAAACTTGCCTTCCTATCTTATTGTTTTTTTTGTGATTATGATAGTTATTATTATTATTAAACTGCATAATGTCTGTGTTGGGCATTGTTTACTTTTCTTATAATCAATCCTTTATTGTCCCTCATGGGGAAATTCTTTTTATGCCTCCCTCAACTTGCTCTTTGTGGAGCATGCTGTCCATGAAGAGCAGCCACCAGGGAGCTGGGGGTTAAGGGCCTTGCTCAAGGACCCCGCAGACAAGCTGAGGCTGGGTTTGAACGGGCAACCTTGTGATTACAGGCACACAGGCTTAGCCCACTGAGCTACAGTACACGCTTACAATACTGTCCACTGCTGGTGTGCTGTTTATTTGGGCAATACTTCCTGCCACAAATGGAGAAAATAGAAGGTGAAAAGAATGCTTTAATTGGGTCTTGAGTAGTTTTTGCATTTGTGTCATGAGTTGTAAACATGACAAAAAGGGCTTTCACGTGCTAGATTTGCATTAGACTGTAAAGCTGTCTGCACAGCGACATAGATATTTGTGTCAACCAAATATTGGAAATTATAGGTTATAGAGCACTGTTTTAAGGGCATTATTAACAAAACATTACCTATGTAAACGAAAATGCAATATAAGCTATATAAACATATTGTCATTCATGATCATGTGTTTAGAGATTATCAGTAATCTTGATATTTTTTGCAGCAATAATTGATAAAGCGAATTCAAATATCAATCCAACCCTAAACTAAAGTACGCATTGATTTTGAGCTGTCTTTGACGCTCTTGGGGTCCCAGTATGATACTTGAATTAAAGCCAGAATATGTTTATCATTTGTGGTAGAGTCCATTCCCCGAAGGCCCCGCTTACCGACTGACCACAGATTCTCTATAGGGTTTAAATCCAGAGAGTTTCCAGGCCAGTCTAGTACCTTGATTTTCTTCTTGATTAAAGTCCTCACTATTTTTGACATATGGCACAGGGCTAAATCATGCTGAAAGATATCCATGCTGATTAGACAGATCGGGTATCGGCCATATGCAACCGATCCACATCCAATACTTATTTATTTAGTTTTCGGCAGTCTGTAAAAAGAGAGCTCCTATTTCTTGTTAAATTGTACAATCAATCGCACAACAGCTCTTTCCCATATTAGATGTGTTTTTGTGCCATTCAAGCTCAACGCTAAGGCTGCCATCAATTTTTCTGCGTCTCAGTGGGTGTGAGCGCAGTGACTTCCACCTGCTGTTACACTGCATACCCTTTGCAGTAGGAGGAGCGTAAGAACATCAGATAAGAGGGTGACGATCAGGAAGTATTTTACGCTTTTAACAACAACAAATAGCACAGCGATTTGCAATCTTTGTAAAAACAAAGTTTTGAGAAGTGGGAGTAGCGTTTAGTGGAACTTCCCACTAAACAAAGCGCATGCAACTTTGTGAGAATAAAAATCAATTGATGGTTTGGGAGTCACTAGCTTGGGCTGTTTTTCGCACTCACTATAGCTTGTGATACACAAGGGGCTGTGATGGCAGCAAAGTGTAAGTGACGCTGTTGTCAGTATGAGAAAAATTGTGGGGCATTTTAAGCATTCGCCACTTGCATATACTCTCTGGGAAGATATTCAAAACTAACTCTAAATGCCTCAAAAACGCTTAAAACAAGATGTACAAATGAGGTGGAACAGTACATTATGTATGTTTCTAGTAGCCTAATTAACAAAGCTTCTTTGGCAAACATTTTTTTCATTTGTATTTACTGGTTTAAAAAAAGAGCCCTGGTGTCGGCTGATACCCACTGTTCTGGTATCGGGATCGTAATCAACACTGAAGAAGTGGGATCGGTGCACCTCTAGAAGTTTCCTACAACTAATGATAGCATATTGTTGGCTTTTCTGAATGAAATTTAAAATCAGATTGTAAAAAATTCCTACTTGTTTCAATGAATTTGCACAAGGGTGTATCTTCGGTCCTAAGAGCTAAAGGTCCTCCAGGCCAGTCGTGTCCACCTTGACTTTGATGAAGAGTGTGTCGTCCTTCACAAACACTGCATCCTTGGTGGCCTCCAGCTCAGCGTGGGAGACGAAGCTGGGAAATCCGGTGGCCACGTTCATGTCCGACGTGGGCCTGTGGAAGCTGCTGCTGTTCGGGTCGGGCTTGAAGACCGTGGTGACGTCCTTGCGGCTGCCACTCTGGTCCATCACCGTGAGGGCCACGGACTGCTGGAACGGCCAGGGCAGGAGGGCATCAAAATCGCCCCGCATCAGCACCACGTAGAGGGACAGGTGGGTACCCCGGCCCGAGCCGTCCCCGTTGAGGTAGGCGCGGGCGCTCAGCTTGTAGCCGCTGCGGCTGGTATAGAAGGGGGAGCTGAAGAGGGCACGGCCCTCTGCCGCAGTCTCCTTCTTCTTCTTCTGGTAGTCGCGGATCTTCCAGATGAGCTTCCCGTTGTATGAGGTGGACTCCAGCTCATGGAAGCGCTCTTCGTTGCGCCGCAGCTGGTCCACGTGGATGTTCAGCAGCCTCGTGTGACGCATGTAGTTGTCCTCGAGCATGACTGCGGGGGTTAGAGAAGATGAACATTCAATACAACGAAATATCATGTCTACGTGTAACGACTTCAATACTGATGAGTACCTGTTTTCAGTATTAGAAAATGTTAATGACTGATACCTTCTGTTTCAGGTTGTAAATCAAGCACCTGAGCTGGGGCAGCTTGATACGGCCCAAGTCCTGCCTAAAAGCCTGAGTGAGCTGCTGTTGTTGCTATCTGGCAATTTCTGAAGACTACATTCAACTATTTGTATCTTTTCAGGGGCAATTCTAGGTGAGGAGGGGCGTCAGAGGGGCCATAATTTATATACAAGGGCAAACTTCATCATTTGCTAATTATATGGTTTGAATCGGCGAGTGACAAGGGGCACTCTGGGGACCAATCAGCTTTCAGCTGAGTGCAGTGTCCCAATGGCCCCGCCACCTCTACACGCCCCTGTTCATTCTGATTGGCCAATCCCACCCTCTGGCCGGGTTGCTCCGGTGACTCACCCAGCCGTTCTTTGAGCCCCTCAATGACAGACACCTGCTGTTTCAGGTTGTCCAAAGAGCACCTGAGCTGAGCCAGCTCAGTGCGGCCTGAGTCTTGGCTAAAAGCCTGGGTGAGCTGCTGGAGTTGGAGCTGAATGGCGGAGACCCGGTCCTTCTGCTCCTCGAGGGACCTCTGTGACAGGAAGCCCGTATCAACATGCACAACAAGCATAACAAGCTTTGCCTACCATAGCTTACCAGAGTAACCACAGTATGGAAGCAACTCTCCTTTGCAATGTAAGCAGGGAATTGGTGTATTTCACAATAATATGCAGGTAGCGATGATGTGTTGGGTAGCGACTAGTACCTGCAGGGTCGATAGCATGTGGTCACTCCTCGTCATCTGCTGTGCCAGTGGCTTGAACTCCCTCTCCAGGCTGCTGACTAAGTTGGTCCTCTCCTGGAACTCATGATGCTTCAGCACTAGGTTCTGCTGCAGGTCATCGATCTGTCCAGAGACCATTCACCACTCAGATAACGCCTAATTTTGCGCAAAGGCAGACTGGCTTACAATGGTGTGCATCTAGGGAAATGTCTAGCTAGAAGCTACAATAAAGGAAACAGTGTTGTTCTCGAAACTAAATAATTCAACTTGCCATTAACACTTACAGTGGGACTGTGATTCAGTGAGTGGCACTGTCACCCCTCACACCACCAGAGTTGCCAAGTTTACATCCCCACTGGTGGAGTTTATTGTTCTTCCTGTGTTGTGTGGGCTTATAGATGGATTGGAATGGATCCATCCAACTTTCAAACACTTATAACAGTGGCCCTTCCAAACACTTATAATCAGATGCCTTGGTCCTGCCTCCTCTAGTTGCTTGGACCCACCTCTTCTATAATCCGATTGGATATCTCTCTGAACCAATCATTTTTCATTCTGCCCTAAGAATATTTTTGTGTAAGTAAAACTCCCATGAGGGTGGGCGAAGGAAAGGCTCATCATGCCTGTTTCTCCAGCTTGGTGTTGCTCTCAAGAACAAGCAGCAGGTGGTCATTGAGAGCAGCATCCTCATGAACCTGAACCTTCACACGCTTCTCCTGTTCAAAGGAAAGAGACAAAGCAATGCTTTACGAAAGGGTCTACTGGACCAAGTAACATTGTGTCAAACTAATTCCCAGGAATTTCTGTTTTAGTGAATGGCATGCATTAATCACAGGCATGGTTGTTGGGTCAGAAATGAGCCAGAATGTGTACGAACCCTAACGCAGCAGCCATATTTCTTATAGATGCAGTCCGTCACCACTTCAGGACACTCGTGATAATGATCTTTAAGCTAGGAAAGGATCACAGGCACCAAGCAGCAGTCAGAAATCATTCCTGAGGTACAACTATCAGTGAACCAGTCATGAACACAACATCACAACATCATGGGAAAGAGTATTACAAGAATATTGTAATACTCTTTTATATTGTACCGGAGAGACACCAACTGCAGGAAACAAATTCCTTGTGTGTGTCACACACACACTTGGCCAATAAACCTGATTCTGATATTACATGTTTAAATACAATAGAATCATACTAGGTGTCATTTTAAAATCTTGGTTTATTCAGACTACTTCGAAATTTTAAGTGAATGGGAAACTATTTTCTAGAGTGAGAAAAGGAGGAAGGTGAGCTCTCTTCGATGTGTGACAGTGCAGTGATCAACACATCAGAGAACTGTGAAGCTTCGCAGAACAAAAGCCATCAAGTGATTTTCAGCACAAAGTGCATGAAATGCTATTTCCGATGGACGTGTGAAAATCTTAATTTTCAAATTTTCTTTAAATTTTTCAAAAGAAAGGAAAGAAGTCTTGAAAAGGGTGACCTTAGGGGTGTTTCTAGCTATTGATAAGATCAAAGGGCTAAGTCAAATTTACTTGGGGCTTGACTTTTTTTAATTTTTTTAACTGGTATTGGGGCTAAAATACTTGGGCTTGGCTTAAAATACTCGTGCTATAGCCCCGAGTGATCGGACCTAACAAGGCCCATGACTGACCTTATGCCTTTTAATCATCTGCTGACAGTTGTGAGGGCACTGGACCTTCACCGCTGGGCAGATGGTGCTTTCGTGGTCCTAAGATGATGCAGAGAGACTGTGTCACAGGCTGTGCTTCCCAGCCCGTAGGCTGTGGCCAGGAGGCCGGCGGGAAGGTGTGACCTCACCATCAGCTGGATCAGCATGTAATGCTTCTGGCAGTGTGGACACGGCTCCATGCGATAGGTGCATTTGCTGCTCAGGTGCTTCTCCAGGTCCTTGCGCAATAAGACGTCCGGGCAGCCCGAGTTAGTGCACTGGAGCGATTCAAACGGACAGATCTTCAGGTGATCCTGGGAATTACGGGAAGTGACAGAAAGGTAACGAGCACTGCAGAAATTACGGTTTGAGGGTTTACGTGCTGCATGTGTGAGACACACTCATCTAATATACTCCATCAGATTTACATTACCAAACACTGTGCAAACATTCAAACCTGTACTGTATATACGATTGTTTGCTAAATAATAAAATATGAATTAAATATCGTTCTATCAGGCTCTCCAAGGCCCAGTAAACAGTGCTGCATGGAAGATAGATGGATATGCAATTATAGAAAACAGATGAATGGAACAATTATTATGTTACAAGAAAACAGAAGACACCCGCAGCTTACCTGCAAACGACACAGAGTCACTTTTTGGGAGCAACTTGGAGAGTTGGTGCAGTAGATTTCTAAGTTTGAAATCTCCCTTTTGCAACAATTATCTTGAAAAACCTACAGGAATTAACACAAAACAAGTATCATCAACATATCTGTATGTCCACTTTGTGTATTTTTAATCAAGTAAAGATGATGGAAGAGCTTTTTCTGTGGTCTGACCATCTGGCCCATCCAGTATCTCCTCCCTCTAAACCTCACCTCATTGGCTTTAATGACACTGTTGTCAATGGGGCATGTTGGAGTGGCGCCCCCTTCCCTGAAAGGCAGAAGCATATGCGTATAAGCACAATAAACTCCAAGAGTAAGAATATGCCATAGGTAACTCACAATACGGCAATACGTAACTCACAATACAGCAATACGTAACTCACACATTTTTAATATGTTATTTCATGTACAAATAAAACAAAATTCAAAGTTTATTTGAATCAGTTTATTTTAATATTTTAGTTCAAATTTTATGATATGCCCTGTTATATCCGACAATTTTTCATGTTTCTTTTGTGTGTGTATTCTGGGCATAGTAGTGTTACTTATTGATATTTGTTTGTTCTTTATTTTTATTTATTGGTATCTGTTTTGTATGGTCTATTTATTATTGTCTGAAGCAAGTCATTTTACCGTGTACATATGGCATAAAAAGCTCTGCAATGTACGGTAATTAATGAGATGATGCATAATCTGAATTGGAGAAGCGTGGTTCGTCGGTACGTTCTCTCGACCTCTTACAGAAAAGCTCGGATGCACTGGTAGCAGAAGATATGCCCGCATCCAGTCTGGTGTGGGTTCAGCACCACGCGCCCACAACTGGGACACATGTACTGCTCCTCCAGCTTCTCCACAAACTTCAGCACCCCTATTATCAGGGCTGGGTCAAACTCCCACGAGCTGACCACACCCGAGTTCTGCCGACAGAAGCCCCTGGATCGGGCATCTGCACCAGCACATTCCTCGGAAGCCATTTAGCCTGCACCATGAAGAGAGAGAACACCTGATTATGGAGAAGTCTACCTGGGAACAGAGACTCCTGTCTGATGAGACAATGACTTCTGTCTGAGAATGGAGACTCATGCTTGAGGACAGAGACTCCTACCAGAGGACATAGAGTCCAGTCTGAGTATGAAGACTCCTTTCTGAGGTGACAGTGACTCCAATCACAGACTCCGGTCTGAGGACATAGAGTCCTGCCTGAAGATGGAGATTTCTGTCTGAGAAGGCAGTGACTCCTATTTGAGGATTTTGAAACTCCTGACTAAGGTCAGAGACTCCAATCAGAGGACAGAGACTTCAGTCTGATGTTTGAGACTCCTGTATGAGGACAAAAACTCCTACCGAAAGACAGAGAGTCCTGTCTGAGGATGGAGACTCCTGTCTGAGGTGACAGTGACTGCTGCCTGGGGACGGAGACTCCAGTCTGAGGTGACAGTGACTGCTGCCTGGGGACGGAGACTCCTGTTGTACTTCACATGTATGTTCAAAGACAGAGAAAGAAAAAAATTAATACTTTAAAATATATGAAAAACACCGTGAGAGGGACCCAACCCCTCAAGACTGTAAGATGGTAACCATTTTCAGATAGTGAAAAAACACTTGTATGCATTACATTAGATCTGCAACAGAGATCTGATAAGGGGTTTTGAGATGGCCCTGCCCATCCAGCCACCAATCATCACGTCGCAGATAACCAAACCACCTGTCTGATTCCACATTGCAGACATCCCATCAGCACCCCGTCATCCTTTCAACCAGATCCGCATGGGGTCTCCTACGCTCTGCACTGCTACAGGATGACAGACTAACGGCATCTCTGAACGAAACGCCACCAGAACTGCCGGAACTGCAGAAATGTACCTCTGTAACCTGCTCACTCTACACCACAAAACCAGAGACAGGAAAGGGCGAGGTATCAGATAGACAGCTCGCCTTAACGTGCAGTGCACCTGCGCTATTCCACATCATACAGCTCAATAGCGTTTTCAAAAGAAAAAGTGTAGAGAGAAACACAAACACTGTAACCAAACAGCCCCATCGATTAGCCACATGCTAACCTGGCTCTGAAGGACCCTGAAAGAAATGAAAAAAATGAGGGGAATATGAGAGTAGGCAACATCCTGCCCTGGAGGTACAGAGACATGGAGAAACCAGCACCTTTAAACTGCGACACATGAGGCAAACAAGTTCATGAAGCAAATGGTGACGTTTCTATTACTGGTGATTACAAATGTCCAGCCAGGAGCCGCGAAAGATACATGCCAACAACACACGATAAATACAACAAAGGCTACCATCATGTCGTTCTCAGTGTAGTCATACCAAGTTCTGAATAAGTTTTCTTTAAGTTTTTCTAAAACGTGTATTGTAACCCCTATAATTACAGCTGGGGGTTGGGAACTGTCAAAAATACATACGTACACTATCATGACGTGAGCACCAACTTTTGATTATACTTTTGATTTATACTTGATTTAAAGTTCATTTTCACGATGTAATCACTAGTGACCAAAAATAAAACTTTACTGCTGTCTTCCAACGCTTCAAATGATTCAATGAATGTCGAAAGTATTACACACCTATGCTCTGCTCTTCATAAAACCTCTGAATACCCCTCGAGTCATCGTGAAAGCGACGGTGTTTAAGGACGCACGGTGTCAGAGCAGATGTTGCCCAATCCTGCACGTATTTATTCAGGCAGTATTAAAGGCCACGAATCAAAGTTTCACACGCCACCAAACTGCATTTGCTCATCGTCACCGTAAATATGAGAATTCCAACTTGCAAGTTTTTCAAATTGATGCTGGTTCCATTAGCGGGTGTTGTATTAAATTATAAAATAAACGTATCATTTACTGGGCTTTAAGAAAACCTGTGCATTGCCAAAGACATTCAGAGATATATACCCAACCAAAAGCATGTGCAGTTCAAGCTACTGGGAAATCCCCGCGATTGCAAGACCATCTCGGTGCGCTGTTTTGGTATACTGCATTAATATTTCAATAATCCTCTTTAAAAAAAAAACTGCAACTCCTTAACAATATCAGACATGTAAAATTTTGATAAAAGAAATCGTACCCGAGGACTGGGGTTCAAAATAATGCCTGATTAGGTGAATAAATGTACTTTCGTTTTTTACAGTGCGCGACATGATTTACACGCCTTGTAAAAGAAGTTAAAGCGCCGATCGCAGTAAACATACCTAGTTTCACTGAAATGCAAATCCTGCGATGTAAAACCTGATTTTTATCCGATCTCCTGCACATATCCCACGGAGGGCTGCGGACGCCGGGTACGGGAGCGCTGAACGACTGTCAGAAACACCGGCCGACGGAGCAAACTGCGCTCACAAGTACAGATAGAGCGGAAAAAGTGAGGAAGTCTGGTGTGCAAAAGCAAAACATGCAAGAAGTGATAAGAATAAGACGCGGCGCGTTACAGGGGAAGACTAATAAAACCAATTTACTTCAAGGGGCACAAGTCAGCATGAATCGCTCAGACATGTGCTCTGTTATATGATACAGGCAGTTAAATCTAAAAACAGAAGAATTATGTTGAGCATTCTTGGTTAATATATACATTACAGCTTGCAGTGTATTGACCCAATGCTGCGCCGTTATCTACCGCGGGAAAAGGTGTATAAAATTAATAGCGGAGCAAAAGAATGGGGTCAATACCCAAGGTTACTTTAAATATGAGTAAAATGTAATAATGCTATAATATAAATGTAACGTTCACTATGACACAACCGAAAGACTGATTCATCAACCTGTAGCACGCCTCCTCATTAACGTTCATCCGATATAAAATATGCACTTTTCCCTCAACTAAGCCTCATAAATAATGTAATGCTAGAGTATCAAGGAAAGTAAGTGATCATTTTCAAAACAAAAATAACTAATAAAACAATGGGTTGATGCTAGTTTTCTTATTAAGCTAGGTAATTATAATGTTTAATTTATAAACTTTTTATTTTGTAAAAAATGGAGGAGCGTTCAAGTACACAATGTTACGCTAACAAATTAATTTGTTTTGCTGTAAAATGTGAGTAGTACGCATACGACGTTAAAACCAGAATATCAGCTATACTGGGGTGGGGTGAGCTTCGTGACGCTAAGAGGTTCGTTATCTTTTTCGTTATTCACCAATATCAATCGTTATCGGGACACTCATCCCTGGTCAGTAGGCTATAAAATGTCTCTTTGCTTCCCGCATTAAAGTGGAGAGAAAAAAAAACATACTCAGATTTGCAGTAGCTGAAAAGCAACACTTACCATAACTGAGACGGATGTGATCGCACCTAGAGGGCTTTTTAAGGGTCTCTGGTAAAACTTTTTCGACCTGTATTGACTATGTGGGGCATGCAGAAAGTGTTCACTGCAAATGTATGGGCGATTATATTCACATCGGCTACAAACAAGAGCAAAACCAAACAGAATTACGAATAAGACGGATAAATAATAGGCCTACAGCAAACCGGCGGCACAAATTACTCCCGAATTTAATGCTTCTTATCCACAAGTTGCATGGGAAGAACAGAACCACAATTAAAAATATTAAACAATGGCATGTCAATACATGCGGATGACTGGGGATTTGTCGATATCGTATACACTGCTGTTACAGGGCAGTAAATGCGCGTCCACTACACGTTATAACCTCTTCGGAAATTGCATTTTGTTCTTCACGCCTAATTGCTCTGATTTATAGTTATGTTTTAAACTGAATCACAAGCTACTTACGTAAAAGATTAAATTAAGTTAATTAAGTTAAATATCTATATTTTATCTTACAAAAAATACCGTATATCATCCTATTACTGACATCTGCAGTGTGGTACAATGAAAGCCGGCGTTTCGACATATTAACAAAATATGAAAGGCCTCTACAAACATAAAATACAATGCAGATTGCCTTACATGTTTTAATGTTGGCAATATCTTTAATTTCCATTATTTGATCAGTATGTCTCGTGTATTCAATGTCCGAGGTTTCATTTTCAAATGGCAAAATTATCAAATGTACTGTACACCTGCGGTAATACTGTGTAAAACAAAGCTTCGTTAAAAAGTCAACAGTCCAAACCCAGTAACTGCACAAGCACGCTGAATGCTGTATTTTAATAATATTGTAATGAACGAAGGGCTGAAAGAAAGATGAGGATCAAAATGTACACAAGAGAACTAACTTTCAATAGGTTGGTATATAAGACAATCATCTGGAAAAGCTACATCTGCCTTATTCCATCTAAGCATGCAGTTCACATTTACTAATTAATTAGACGAGAAGGATATGTTTGCAATGTCATGCAGTATAGTTAAGGCAGGATGGCGTGTACTGTAAAAGTCCCAGCAGCCTGCGGGTTTACGGTTACATACATGTTCAGTGTTTCAAGAGGACATTAATGCAATAAGTACCATAAGCTAACCCACAAGATTTTTTTTAAAGCAACCAATTATAAATATTCACCTGAGATTGTACTCAGGTGTTTGTCTTAATAACGTACAGTTCTGGAGAGTTAGAACCCCTCTTCTCTGGGGCAGGGCCACATTCCTATTCCGCCATCGTGTTTTCATCGATAACGGTATTTTCGGCGCCATGCAGGGAAAAATAATTACAACAGCGGTAAACTTTAGGAAGGTCGGATAAGCCTATGGAGTTCTGTTCTGTTTTACCGTTCACACTCAAAAGCCTAACAATAAAATAAATAAAACTACTTCAGTGTGTCAGTGGTGGTGACCAATTAATTGGGATATTCGCATGGTAACATGAAAAATAAAAGGATCCAAATGAAATGTACATACCATTTTCGTTCACATTAAAAGAGGAAAAGATAAAAAAAGTAAACTAATTAATTTACAAATCTACGAGATTTTTTTCAACAACCAAAAAAAATATCCATAATCATATCCTAATTTCTGTAATGTGCTAAACAGAATTATAAAATTATAGTAAAAAAAAAAAGCTTCTCACTAATTAAGAGCACTTTTATGGCAACAACTATTCCACACAAATTAGTCAGGAGTCCATAGCACCAGGTATAAAATAAATAACCAAATATTTACATACAACACAGAACTAATGTGCTTCATAAAATTTGAACAAAACTTGAGAACAAAAACAATAGGATTGTTGAAAGACACATAACAAAACAATATCCTTAACTTCTAAACTACCACTAGCTTAATTTTTAAGCTTTTGATTCTTTGTATATATTTTGGTACTTTCTTTTGGCAGTTATATAACAACGGGCATCACCAATATCCCCCTGGGGTGACTGAGGGACATTTTTTGAACTGCTGTTATGTTTTCAGTCACACATCATAATCTATAATTAAACAGTTTGGAAATAAATACAAAGCCACAAATAACATGTACTGGATTACAGAGTTTACATAATAAACGTTAAGACTGTACTTATGTACAAAAACTTGACCTGCTTACAACAAACAATAGTGACACCAAACAATGTAGCCTTTTTTTGAGGGGGGGGGATAACGTTCTCTTGTAAACGACACGTTCTCAGTGCAAGGACGACGACTGCGTCTCCGTCTGGATGCCGATCAGGGTCGGGGGCTGCTGGCCGGCAACCGACGCCAAGGAGGGGCGGGGATTGAGGCGGGGGGGCATGGGGTTGGAGGGCCGGATGAGGGGGGGTGGCTGGTTGAGTGCCGGCCGGAGGAATCGGGCCTGCTGCTGGAGTGGCGGAGGCTGGCGGTGCAGGGCGGGGGTGCTGGGCAGGCCAGGCCGCAGCAGGGGCGGCGGCTGGTTCAGGGACGCCGTGCTGGTGGCTGGGGGCGGGGCCAGCGAGGCCTGAGCCACGGGGGATGGGCCTGACGCTGGGGTCATCTGGCCCTGGAGGAGACACTTGGTTAGTTCGCATTTGCTTCTCATCAGATCACCTGACTGATTAACTCACGTCAACATCAAGCAGTGGGTTAAACAGTGCTGTCAAACGTCAAATAATGAGGTGAAAAAGAAAAGATTACTGTAACCCTTTCATATTTTTAAGCTAAATCAGCTTTTGTTGCTACAGGAAAATTTGAGAAATCGGTTCACACTCAATAAAGCAATAGAAATTGTTAGAAATAAATCAAGAATTTATTAATAACACTGAGGCACGAGTAGCCCGGAGTTAAACAAACGTTTTGCCAGATTGTGGCTTCATCAGAGTATAACAGAAACTAACAGGATCGAGGTCGTTTAATATAGTTTATTTTATTTTGGCACAACGCACCGTTCAACTGTTACATTTTTTTGGTCTACCTGGTAGCGCATAGTTTTTAAAAACTGATCTACATAAAGTTATGGCACCCAAAAGGATGTTGTTGGAAGCCATTAACAATTCAAGGCGTTTACACTCATAGCGAAGCTGCTTGCTACCATCCTCTTGAAATGCAGGTCAAAGAAAACAAACAAACAAAAAAGAAAAACAAAAAAAAAAAAAACGTGTACAATTTGCCATATATGACTGCAACACATTTATAACTGAGCAAACAACAAATGAGCTCTGGAAATCAAGGAACTGCAAACCTAATTCTGCCATTGTAATGTAAAGCAATGTTGGGTGATGAGATTAAAAATTTGCGATTAAAATAATAATAATAGTAATAATAATAATAAATCAGTATTATAGGTTGCTTTAAATCATAAACAAGTAACAACTGCCACATGGACGAGGAATACACTCCCTGCTTAAAAAAACAAAATAAAATTCAAAAAGTATAATGTAACCTAAATATATTACAATTTATATGAACAGAGTCTAATATATAGGTGACTCAAAACCATATGATATCAGCTACAAACCATCTATGGCTGTTAATTCACAAGGGTTTTAAGGGTAAGAAGAACGGTCCACAACCTCCTCTTCCTCTTCATCTGTACTCTTCCCTGACGTCGGAGTGTTGGAGCTGTTTTTGCCCTCCTCCCCCGAGGTTGCGGCGTCGCCGTTGGGGGCGCGCGTTCCCTGCTCCGCCTCCCACTCCTGCAGCACCTCCTCCAAGTTAAATCGACGACGGTAGTTGACAAAGAAGTTCTTTACCTGCCCTACGGTTTTATTACCAATAACGTCGGCGATAGCTTGAAAGTCTTTCCCATATTTCCGGACACCTGGGGACGAAGCACATTGTAGGGATATTCAGAGATGCTCTCCCATATGCACTAATTGCAAATCACCCTTACGATAACTACAGACAGATGTCATATATATATTTTAGCTATTTGCTAAAGGAAAAGTGACAATTACCTTGAACGGCAAGAAGCTGTTCGTCTGTTGTCCAGCGTGCATTAATTTTCTGGTTGCACTACATGAAAGACATACATATTAGTACACTGATAATATTAGTACACAGTACATATCAGTACACTGAAAATATTAGTACACAGTATATATTAGCACACTAATAACTACCAGAACATTTGCTCCCAGGCATATAAACTTTCAGCAGTTAATCCACCTATCGTTTTTTTTGGGTGATTGTGCATTCATAGTTTCAGAATCAGATCCACAACAGCAGGTGGTCATTACTACCTCAGGCAATCTGTAATCATCTATACCAGATTCCAAGAATTGCGCAAGCCATGCCTTTCGTATTTCTCAAGCTTGGCTTGCAGTCTTCTCAGCCAGATTCCATCTTCTGTTTGAGAATGCTGTTCAGCTGTTTTGCATTTTGGACCTGAAAAAAACAAACACAAGTCACAAAATGAAATAGATCTGGTACAGCAATACATTAATACTAAAAGAATGAAATATCTGAAAGGTTAAAGCATATCCATTAAGTCAACAACAGAAATATATTAAGTACTGCTGACACAGTTTTGGACATAGCTTGAAATCCTAACTTTTTAGATGTCACCACACACACATCTAGAAGGCTTTTACTTTGATGACCATTTGGCACAGCATTGAGATTTCACCGGTGCAAAGCAGAGTGAGATTTCTGCACCAGAATGGTAAAAATGTGATACCTGTCGCTTTAAGGACACCAGTTCCATGTCCAGCTGCCTGAGGACAGTGTTGGCAGCTGTGGAGCTACAAGATACAGCCACCACATCCTCCTGAGTGAGGTACATGCCCTTGGGCGGCCGGCACTTGGAGCGCTGTGAGTGGTGGCGGTGCTGCAGAGTTTGATGCTCTCTCCTACCCATCCCTATCTTTGTGGTTGGGGTCGGTGGCTCAGAATGGGTCTTTGGAGGACAGCACACACGTGCATGAACAGACAGCTGAAGAACAGCAACACAGATCTCTAGATATCTTCCTGAAGTTGAACCAGCATAAGGCAAAAAAACAGCTAGAAAGTCATATCAAAATTCCAAGAGATCTGCTCGTTGAAATTCGGACTACAATTAATTTGAATTAATTTTTCAAATAAATTAAAGACATTTTTGAGGAGAGTTACCTCTTTTTTCGTCTCCTTGGTGGGGTCATAATCACTGTCATTTGCTTCAATAGGATTCGCCTCTTCCATTTCTTCATCGCTATCATGGAAAGTGATTTATTACTTTTTACGGAAATCAGGTGCAAGGGTTCTTGCACCGCCAGGTACTGGAGTATTACCTCTCATCTTGGTTACTCCGATTTGCCAGTTTTCTCGCTTGTCTGTCCATCAAACTTGTCCTGGAACGGGTCTTTTTCCACGAGTAGTAGTACTTCACTAGACTGGAAATAGACTTATCTGGCAGCTAGCGAAAGACAATAATTGGTACATTATTAAAAATAGAAAGTGCTAACTTAAGGGTATGACAATGCCAGTGATTTTAACTAAAGAAAAACCGCATCACTTTTCAATACTGAAATAAGAAATACATCACACAGATCCAACTACACGTGAGGGTAATTATGTAAAAGCAACACATCACATTTCAGAAATGATGCACAATAGATCCTAGGTGGCTAGTTACCATTTGTTGAATCCTGTGAAAGCTTTTGCCATGAAAACTAAAGGCCTGCTCAAATAAGACTTTGTCTTCCACAGTCCATTCATCAGGGAAGGGAGTGAAGTTGGGCAGGTCCGCCAGCGACTTCTCTATGTTATGCTTGTGCCAGAACAGCATCCCCAGAGCCTGCAGGGGGCACCAGAGAGTCAAAGGTGTGGGTTTCATTACGGAAAACAGCTTTATTAATAAAATTATGCATGAACATCATGTTATCTATACTTACATTTCAATATTACTGTTTCTGCCTAGCTATTATTTTCAGGATTTTCACTATCAATGGATAAAAGACCAACCTGCTCAACATTGTATCCATGTTTTTCTTTTGCAATGGCAATATATTCATCCACTGTGAAGAGGAAACACTGTTAGCGTAAACAAAGCAGAAAGGTGAAAAAGAGCTATATAAATAATAAAAGCAAATGTGAGTCTTACATTTAGTATCAACAATTGTATGGTATGGAGACCATACCAGCATCCCTCCACTGTCCTTCTCGCTGTACTTTGTAGATCCTTTAGAAAATTGAAAATAAATAATTAAACTTATATGAACTGAGAAATTATAAATATTCACAGTAATCCCCTTACCCCATTTTTAGATCTATTCTATGAAAAGTAGAAGTTATAAAGCCTAAAAATAAAGCAAAACTATTTAGTACGGGCTGCTTTTCATCTCAAACTTAACATGACAAAAAATACAAATACCCAACGCTAAAACAGTAATAAAATATAGGGTCCCTGCTATTTCTCCCGTAAGGGAGATTTTAGATATTTGCGGGTAATTTACAGAAAATATAATGTCGTATGAATACTACAATAGACTAATAATAAATCAATTAAATTCTAAATATTCATTAACATGTTAGGAACCTATACTCAAAACATATTTAAAACGTTTCACCATGAATGCATGCTAGCGAACGTAAAGCGTTTGTGTATTTATATATTATGAGGTCGCAGCACACTCGACGTTTAATATAAAAGTTTATAGAAAGGTTCGTTTTCCGGCCGCCGTCCTCGGGGATCTATGCCCACGTTTAAGTTTAACTGCAGTCCTCGCTTCTGGTCCCATAATGCTCCTAGGTGAAGATGAAAAGGTTGTAGTTCCTCTATCCGACTTGGCACAGGAGGTCAGCTGAACCGCCTTCAAAATGTCGCGGAGGCACGGCGATCAAGCAGCAAACTCGCCCGCCCCATTAACACTTCGCGGCGACACATTTTTGTAGTTCAGCCTCTCGCCAGGAAGCAACCAAACGCGCGTGATATCGGCTGTCAAAGTTTCGCAGATCAAGTCGCCATATGAGTTGTTTTAAAGAAAATCTCCATAGTTAGCTTGATCATGGCCAAGACGGAAAAGAAACGAGTTTGGTGGAAAGGCTGCATTGCATGCATTCGTGCAGCGCAGTTAAGGGGACCGGAGAGGCCGATCGACGGCTTGTCTACTAGTAACTACAGACATCGTTTCATTGCATCTATTTCGACGCAAATGAATGCCTATATTAAAAATCCATTAACCAGGAGCATTTTAATATCTCGATGAGACCCTAAAACTAGCTAGTAAGCAAAAAGAGCAGCTTTCGCGAAGTCATTAAATATACATATAACAATTAAAATAACGCTCGAAACTTATACATTATAAACTTCCAGATAAACCGTCCATAGTTATTATTGTGTCGCAATTTTTATTTAAAAATACCATTAAATGTTGAGGTTTAAACACGGAGATCGAGGCTACCACTTGCTAGCGTCAGGTACTGTACTGCTAGCAAGATGGTTGATATAGTCGATAATACTTTACCAGGATCGTATTCAGGGATAGTCGCTTGATATTCCGATCCCACTCGCATTCCAACGTCTAGAAGAATAAATAGAAAATAATACTAAAACTATTCCAACAAAATATATATTTTTAAACAAATAATTACTAACTACAATTAAAAGACAGAGTTCGAGGCTATACCATGCTCTTCGTCGCTGCCACTATCGTCCGAAAAATGTCCATTCGAAGCGTTGGATGGGCTTTTCGTCCCATTTGATCGCCCTTTCCCAAGATATTCAGAACCCTTTTCCATCATTCCAGGCATTTATAATTATTTATTTGTTTTTCTTATTCAAATAAAAAAAAATCAAGCGTTCAATGTACTTCTCCCTAACCGTACTGTTTTGTACCAACCCCAGTTCTGCGCAGTAGTGTCACTGAGCAAATGTCAAGTATTAATCCACCACCATCTTTATCGATTCTTGTCTTTTGGAATCATGTCACAATTTTCCGTATGTTTACCAAACCTGTAAGTGGGAATTGTTTTATAAAGAAAGTTTTATAGCAATATATACCTCTAAATCTATCGACTGTTATAGGCTCTATTTTCTTCAGCGGAAGGAATTGTCGCAACCGTGCAGTCGAACTACGGCCTGAGCTTAAGCCGGTTGAAACAGAAAACACTTTGCAAGACTGGACGTCGAATTTTGTGATTCAGCAAATAAATAAAAATAGAATATATATTGCCTTTAACAACAATTTTACTGTTAGAAAGTAGAAATAGAAAAATAGAAGATTTTTCAAATCATTAGCCTAAGTCAGTAGTTTTCCTTTGACAAACTTACTGTAGCAACTCTCAACCTTTAACAACTTTTAAAATATAATAACAGTCTTGTTAACCAGGGAGTTAATAAATCATGCGAACACCCCATATCTGTGAATACACGTGTTAATCTCCTTATATTATTTTAATCAATCAAGTAATGTATGCAAATGTTTTGGCAGAAAACGCCAATACTTCGGCAGTTTCTTAATAATTTATATACAGTTTATAATGACAGAAAACACTTAGTTGCTGTTTTGTATATAGGCCTAGATATTATAGATAATCAATTTCAATTTTTCTACCAGCAGATGGAGGCAACGTACTTCTTTGAGAAACGAGCAGGAAAAAGTTGCCAAATTGTGACAAAGATCGAATTGCCAGTAGACAACCCGCTAGTTGTCCAGGTGATAATAATATATAATGTAATAGTGACAAATCACAAAATCGACACATGGAGCTTAGTGTAATTTTCAAAGAACATCCATTTGCTTTTTTGTTACAAATATTGACAGCGGTTTTGGGTAGGCTGATCTTTAAAATCTCCCAAATGTAGGCTAAGAATTACGGGGGAAAAAATATAAAGTACAGGATCTTAATTCTGTTTAGTATAATCAATAAGAACCAGGCATCTTTATTTGTTTATCAGCCAAATATGATATAATTTAAAATCCAAATTCACCAAATAAAATTTAAATGAGACTTGGAACTATGTTACCCAATTAAAATCTGAAAGCAAAATGAGTGATAAATACGTATGTGTAGTCTTTAAATACTACGATTAAAACAAAAATGACAAAATACTGCACGATGTTAGCGCGGCCTATTTAAATTCTGAATTTGCCCATGGTAATGATCAGGTTAATTTAAACAGGCTTGTATAATTCTGCGATGGGCTGGCCCCCCGTCCTAAGTTGTTCCCCGCCTCGTGCCCGTAGCTTCCGGGATAGGCTCTGGACCCCCCGCCACTCAGAAGGATAAGCGGTTTAGGAATTTTTTAGGTCGGCATATTGTTGAAATCATCTATCCATCCATCCATTTTCTATACACTCTTGTCCTATTCAGGGTTGCGGGGGACCGGAGCCTACGGACGCAGGGTCCATTCACACGTACTTGGAATTTGGTAATTGGGGTGGGGGAGACCCAGGAAACCCCAGATAAAAACTCCACAGACGTAGATCCAGGGAAGAGACTCGAACCCTGGTCCCAGGTAATAGCGCTAACAACTGCGCCACTGTTCCCCCCATAAAAAAGATAAAAACACATGCTTCGTTGTTGTTTATGAAAATTATACAATATTCATACTGCTTCAGATCTGTTAACCTTAGCAGGAAAGAACTCTAATGTCTTGCCACATACGGTCTGTCAGATTTAAATACAAGCTTGGCTAAATAAATAATTTACGTTCTTATCGTCAAGCAGCTTAAAGCCAATACATTTGGAAATGGTGAATTTTGGTCTTTTGGAGATTTAAGTTAGTTTCATCAAAGCTTCGGTCTTTATTTACTCCAAAAACATTGTCCTTCTAGGCCCCGCAGATGAGAATCACCGCGACATGACCCACGTGTCTTTCAGCATGGTGACGTCACCCGAGTACATTTCAGACATGGGCAGTACTTTAAATTTGTGCCAACTAATAGCGTATAATCAAACTATTATAAAATCCAACAAGGGAGTACGATTGTTCATACACTTGTCCTGGTATTCTCAGGACAGTTTATTTTTGTTTATTTATTTCGTCCAACCCAGAAATTTCCTTTTGGTCCAAATAAATCATGTTTTGTATTGTATTGCTGGTAAATATAGCGCACGTTTATTCCATTTTTTGCTTGCACTTCATGCTTTCTGCCAGCTGATGGACACCAAGCCCCATTCATGTGCGAAAAGCAGGCATCGGATCCAGTTCGCCACCCAACCAGAAAATCAAGGGACGGATCAACCTTCGCTTGTTTCCACTCTTCTTCGACAGGGGGAGTTGGGTCTTGGGCTGATCTAGGATCACAGCGGCGAGAGGCTCACATCCGAGTCCCACTCTGAACGGAGACCATGAAGACAGTGGGTTGGGAGCAGCGCCCTGCGGATAGTTTTAGGGACCATCCGGACAATTCAGACACTTTCCAGACGTACTGAATGACCCGGTCGGGATGGCAGGAGGACGGAGAGGACTGGTAGCTCCCCAGAATACTTTTCTAGAGAACATTGTAAGACGATCAAACGGTAAGAATTAACACGTACCTTATAAGCATCCGCTATAAATTATTAACCATTAGAGCAGTGATTAATAATATAGTTTTTCATCGATTCGCGTGCGGACTACATGTATGCTTATCTGCACAAACCAAATGAATGGTAGAAAATAGAAAATGCACATTTAATCTATCGCAGTGTAATGTCTCACAAAACAATTCAATAACATGATTATTACATTAAAATATTTCTCTTTGATGCATTGAACAAGATTGTTAGGAAGAGTTGCCTACACTGCAAGGAATAATTGTCATTGTCAATGGTATCATACTGTTAACTTTCATATTATACAATTACAGTTACCTGACATGGTGAGCACCAGGTACTGTCACTGGTATTCATGATATTATTTTGAAAACAGCCAGTTTCGTCACGTGTTTATTAACGATGTATTGCCTAAACATTTAGGTATTTTTTTCTGTTTTTTCCCAGGTCTCTACTTCACATTTCGCGAACGTGCTTGTAATATGCTTAAAAAGTCCCGCACTCATCGTTGTCTAATTTCTTAAATATTTCCTGGTTTTTATTTTAAGGATAACTGAATCATTTATAAGAGATGTACACAGTCCGAATAATACAAAGTAACAGCTAAACTTCATGTTAACCAACCGCAATGTTTTAAATTTACCAGATACATACAGATGGTGTATTAAGAGCAGGTATAACATACATATCACCTGTGATCGGAGAATTTCTTGATTTATTAAACAGTTCTATTCAAATAGAAGGTCTCACCGTATCTCAACGTGATTCTCTTTCATATTAACTGGCAGTCTATAACCGAATGGTTCGTCTAGTCTAGTTTATAGTGACACTTATAGTTATCGTGTGTCTGAGGGTAAAACCGTACTTAGGCGGTTTCCCTCGAAAACACGGTTGAGCTAAAACTAAATAACAATAATATTTTTTTTATGCAGACAGATTGCTTAAGATGGTATATAGATTATTTGGACTGCCTGTCATGTTCTGGTATCTGAATGTACTTATGACATTCCTGGAATAGTTATCCTTATGATTTTAAGGAACAATTAAATATATGAGTTTGTACGTTTTTATTATTTTTTGTTGTGCTGAGAATTTTTGACGGACATCTAAAACTACAGTTATGAACACACCTGTTATTGTAATATGTTGAGCATAAGAAATTCTTTCACTGTAATTTACCTAAACCAGTTGGTGACAGCTGTATATTTAAATGTGTTTGCGGTCTGGTACTGTCAGTCACCTAGGGCTGAAAAACCATATTTGCTTTAGATTGACGCCAGTAAACGCTGGAGTACCTCACTCACACTGTCTCATACAAACAGTCGATGCTTACGGTCTTTGGAGGATAATCAGTTCTTTTAAGTAAATGTTCAGTTGACTGACTCATGATGATACATCTTGGGTTTTGGATGATTTTTATTTCTGTAAAAATGTTTGACACTGAAAGCTGTATCTTATTGACAGTGCACTCAAAAAAAAGAGATGATCCTTGTATATTAAAACATGCTATGATTTTCTTATTGTGTTTATATTCACAATATGACATAACAGGAAGTATTATTGTTCCAATATGCAGGAGACCATCTAGAGCATCTCCTTACATCCTGAACATTCTCCTTGTCAGTTAAAAAACCATGACATTTGTAAGTTGTTTTTGAAATTTGTCGTGTGTCTTTTACACTTAACTTCTGCAGAAATTCACAAGCACCTACATGGCCGTTTCAAAGAAATATCGACACTGACGAATCGCAGCTTTCACTTTCACCGTAATCAGTTTCCTTACTCCATTGCGCATCGAAATGATGAATAGTACTTTGGTTGGCTAAAAGTTGCCCAAGTCATGCTGCTCTGCTGTTTGTCAGGTAAACTGTGGGATGTTAAAGGGCACCTGGTGCAGCCAGAAGAACGAGAACATGCACAATGCAGAGGGGCAACATCTGTGGTGCCCGCCATTCACCACCCAAAATGGCAGTGCAGAAAGACTGCAGTGACTGCAATTTCTTTTCTTAATGTAACTTGTAATAAAGTGTCTTTATGCATGAAACAATGAGTAATCACGGGATCCTTTTCATTTTTGGACGTGAGGTCAAAAGGCCAGTAAGTAGAGCTAACCAGAGACGGTGTAAGCTTATGGTATATTTTAAATCACAAGCACAGCTGTTGTTCTTTTCTGGATCCACTTTGCTTGTTATGGTCTCCTTCCCATTTTGGAAAGTTTACACTAAGCTGCATCCACCTGTATGCCATTTGCAGTAGTGATGTGTAGTGATGTGTAGCTCAGTGGGATAGGATGCCATGTGTTTGAAACCTGAAGGTTGAAGAGATCTCAGTGTTGGGCCTTTGAGCAAGGCTGGAATCCCTTAGTTGTTCCTTTAACCATCTGACCCTATTTTCTCAAAAATAAAGAAAAAAATTTATATAAACACACACACATAGTCTTTGGATAAGTACATCCGCTGCGCAAATCTTTGTATTTTGTCAGTGTGTATACATCAGGGCTCCATTCTATAAACTATCAATAAGTAAAGGTATCTGTGTATGTATGTATGTGTGTGTGTGTGTGTGTGTATCATAAGTGCAGTAAGTGCAATATGGGGTTGCATTCAGCCTACAGCCTATCCCATGAAGCAGTGGGCACTATTCAGTTCAATTCAGTTTTGTCTGTATAGTGCCTTTTCACAACATTACATTGTCTCAAAGCTCTTCACATTATCCCTGCCGAAAGCCCCCAGAGAGCAAACCAGAAGTGGCAGTGGCAAGGAAAAACTCCCTCAGGAAGAAACTCCAAGGGGGAGCCCATCCTCCACTAGGCAGGAGACACCCTGGATAGGATAACCTTCTCGTCTTTTCCTTTTTCTTCCTTGCATTGACAAGAATAATCTTCCAAGCAGTACTGAGCATTTCAGGTCCAGAAGCTACAAATCCAGACCAAGATTTTAATAATAAACAACTAATAGAGTCGTTAAAATGCATACGAGAGTCTTTTAGTCCTGGGTAATGATAACTAGGAGTTCCACTCATGCTGCTCAGACAGTCTGTTTTCAGTGAAAGCATCACGTCTAGTGTGTGGATTTTGTCCCTCTACTGGTACTATTCGTGTTCAGCTTGGAAATGCGTCTGCCATAGAGCCACAGAAACGGCCATCTGCCTTCTCCACTCTGACACAGCCGCTCATAACCTTGATGAATCACCATCCTGTGTCCTGTGTATAAATTTGCATGCTTTCCTTCTGGGATTTTGAATACTTTGTTAGAAAAACATGTGTTTTCCAGCTCATTTGCATATTAATCAATCATAATCTGCATTGTGGACACACTTGGGCACCTCCCACCTGTTGACTTTCTCTGAGTTTCTTATTCTTTAATACAGCCTTTGGTATAGAAGCCCAATAATAGGTTCATCAGCCAAAGGTCACATGTGTATCTTCAGAAGTGGAAAGTTCAGATCCAGAAACTAAAGTCCAGACCAAGATTTTGTTTAAACCAACCAGTTGAGTACTCTGTGACTATGACTGAACTGGTTGGTTGAAACAAAATTTTGGTCTGGACTTCTACTTTCTAGACCTGAACTATCCACCCCTGTTTATTTTACTGTATGATAGGCATTTGATAGATGGCCATAAACAAAATCAAGCCTTTTGGTAGGAATTTTCCTTGCTGTTTGGCTTAATTGTCAAAATATGGCCTGTGGTGTTTCTGTGTTTTAAATCAATAAAATAAGAACATCTTAGTAGATGGTGAGTCTATAAATCTTTGCCTTTTTTGTGTCGTTTCAACAGACACCAACTTTGTTCTGGGGAATGCCCAGATTGTGGACTGGCCCATCGTGTACAGCAACGATGGCTTCTGCAAGCTGGCTGGCTATCACCGGGCTGAGGTCATGCAGAAGAGCAGCACGTGCAGGTAGTCGCCGCCGTTGGGCTGCCCCCAATTCAGGGCATACTCATGCTTGGCCTGGTTGCCTTGTTCTGTGTTCAGGCATGGTTGTTCCCCTCCCCATTCCCCCGCTCATCTGTGCTCATGTTGCGTTTAATGATCCAAGCCCGAGCATGCTTTCACCATCGCTGTGTGACTTTTTGCGTAAAAAAAAACATAGGAAGGAAAGCGGTATCGCACAGCACAGCGGAGTTCATGGTTAATGTCCTTATTTTGTGGATTATTTGGAGTCATTTTGGACACAATGACGCATGGCAATGCAGCGATTTTCATTTAATCGAGCTGTATGTGTAAGAAGAATTTTACAAAGATGATCCAGTGTTTTACCAAATATGGGTTTTGGGTGTTGAGTCCAGTTTTTCCTGAATAATCTTATCAGCCCAATTTCCCAGCAAACCCTGCATCTGTGCCATAGACCAAAGTGATCCTGCATCTGTGCCATAGACCAAAATGATCCTGCATCTCTGCCATAGACCAAAGTGATCCTGCATCTCTGCCATAGACCAAAGTGATCCTGCATCTCTGCCATAGACCAAAGTGATCCCTTAGCTGCCATGTTTGCTAAGTGGCCAGTCACATCATTGATGTCATATCTGAGTTCTGTGTTCGGGCACGGTTAGCGATCCCACTAGGTGCCTGAGTCCAACAGAACCATGCCCAGGCCCACCTCTTCAAGCAGACCCAAGCATGGTTCATGGTTCACTCTAGTTAAACGAACTGGACTTTGGGGGTCAAACGTGCTTGGGTACGGTAGAGTTCGCCTAGTGTGAGTACATCCTCAGACTCTTAGAGGATCCAAGTTACAAAATGACAGTGTTTCCTCACAGAAAAAAAAGCCAGTTTACATACATATTTGAGTTATGCTTGACAGAGCAAAGCACAGAGGAAGACTTGGAACTGTTCTGCAGACCATTTGGCTGTCAATGGCTTTTATAAGTCCTTTATTATAACGATAAACATGGCGAGGAGTAGCGTGATGTGGAAACACAGCCATCCGCTTTCTGAGAGAAGGGCTCTCCACTTCCTGCCCCGTCAAACTGGAGGGAGCGCTCAAAGCTTAAGAGTTACACCCCCCTCCTCTCATCCCTATCCCACTCCAGTCTTTCCCATAAAATAAAAGGAATATCGCAGTAGGCTATGCAAATGCACCATGTCAATGACACTTAGCCTTTCACACTTCCGATGTTTGCATGAATTATGTTAAAATGTAATGCTTTGATGTATCATTGATTGCTGCAGACTCTATTAAAAACAACCGATGCCTTTTGGTCTGACGCAGTTGGACGTGTGTTTCTATGTCTATAACAGTCCTGACTCTCCAATTTATAAAAAGTCCTTTATTTTACTGAAGATGGCAGAAACTAGAACCTATAGTACAGTGAAAGAACGTTTGAATGTTTCTGAATTCAGCTTTAAAAATGTAAATAATGTACAGCTTTTTTTGTATTTTGTTTTCCTGTATCAATGCTATTAGTCCCTCCATATAATAAATGAATAATAACACAGCATTAGGTACTTGTATGGAAGAGTAATACCTGGAGTAACAGTTTGGGCACATCTGTCACATGGCTGCTATTTTAAGATTTTATTCTCTAGTGAAATAAGTGTTACTCTGTTTAAAAGTAACAAACGTAACAACAGTGTTTTTTAAACTTCTGCCGTTAACCAGAGTTATAACTGATTCACATTTGACTGCTGAAAAGATGTAAGAAAGCAAATTCTAGTCTTCTGCCAGCTGCACAAAGAAATTAAGGAGGGTACCCCTTAAATTCATCCCTGGTTGGAATTAGTCCAACTTTGTGATACCATGTGCTAATTTTTAGTATAACTGTTCCACAGGGAAGCAACCTGTTTTTTTAATTATGAGAAATGCCAATATAACATTTTTCCTGCCTGCACACAATTGTCTTGTCTCTAAAGGGAAAATCATAATCAATATAAAAGAATGGAAATAAATTTGGAGTGACTCAGTGGATATGTAAACACAAAATGTCAATGTTTGGGGTTCAGCTGGGGTTATCCATTATTTTTGTTGACAGATTATTTCAAGAGGTTTTTACAATGAACAATTTGATTAGAGACTTTGTTAACTCAGATTATTTACAATGGAATGATTTCTAACCGAAGGTTACAAAAGCATCTATCTGCCAGAGAAAGAACAGATGAAACTGTTCTTTCCGGGGAGCTCAGTGCTAATCTTGGGATATAGCCATCACATTACGATAATCTGTCTTCATCGATGAGGCAGCCAGTGCTGGAATTTACCTCAGGTTACTGCTTGGAGTGTCATACTGTATAGTATTTAAAAAGGGGGTTATGCTCACATCTGCTCAGTCATTGGCTCTTTCTTCCTCAGGGGATTGACCTCACTTGACTCGTATTGCATTCTAAACCATATATTTCTGAGTTTCCTAGGGTTCTTTATGTGATTCTGAGTAGTCTGTACAGATCACTGTGACTATGTCTTGTTTTATTGAATTCCCTGCATGTGGAAATACATATGGTTTTGGGACCGGTCCACCGCCATGGAACACTTTCTTGTTAAGACTATAACTCAAAAATTATTTGACGGATCTTTTTCAAACTTTGTAGAGGCATTGTAGGGCTGATGAACTGGAGGTTTTTCATTTTTGAGACAAATAAGAAAACAAAGGGAAGGGTGACTTCAGGTGACGCTTGGCCTCTTGAATGTGATAAGCCAAACAGCATTTGATCGATATTACTACTGTCATCTCCTGGTATCCAGGATTAGTTCCAGGATCCCTCACAGATACTAAAATCTGTGGATGCTCGAGTCCATTATATAAATTGGCGTAATATTTGCATTAAATTTTATTCATTTTAAATTTAAATTTATGGACATCCTCCTGTATACTTTAAATTATCTGTAGGTTACTTATAATACATAATACAATGTGAATGCTATATAAAAAGCTGTTATACTGCACTGTTTAGGGAATAATAATGAAAAGATAAAAAAAAAGATAATGACAAGATTAAAATCTGTAGATGTTCAATACAGATGCAACCATCATAGTACATATAGAAAATATAATTATAAATAAAGAAAATTCTCAATACATTCATGTGGATTGCACTTAGTGCACTTTGTGCAACATATTCTGGATGCTTTTTGGAACTTTCTGATATTGTAAAATTTCTTTTCAGATCCGCGGTTGCTTGAATTTGTGGATGCGGATGTCATGTACACAGGGCACCACTACTTCACAAAAACATTGCGTGGATGAAGATCTGCACCTGATTTCATTTTGAGAGCTGAGGTAGCAGTACTGTGTGGCAGCAAAGGAAGGAAATGGAGACTGTGAAAACACTTGGTCTCGTGGACACAGTAACTTTAAAAATATTTGACAGATCTTTTTCAAACTCTACAGATACATTATATGGGTGAAATATTATTGGTAGTAGTCCGGTAGCCAGCCAGCAAAATTCATCATGGGGAAATTTAATTGTGTTACTTATCCCTAATCTCATCAAAGAACATGCACAGATCTAGTGAACTGATTGCATTGAGAAAAGTTGCACAATATTGGGCTTTTCATAAGGATTCTTGGAGAGGTACAGCAAAAGTGTAGGGTGTAGGGTAGGCTTTGGCGGTATTACGGTGGTATTGTTGGTGTACTCTGTTATTTTTGTTACGATTCTTACTAAATGTTGGTCATATTCCAAATGAGAAAGTAATAAAAAGAATATAACTGTTTACACATATAAAGAATACAAATAATATCAATGACATTTCAAGACATGGACTATAAGAAATAGTAAGACAAAAAATACAGTTAATCACTAATTGGTGGGGAAACATTATGCAAATTGGTATGTAAGTGAAATGTGCAAGTGAATATAGTTGTAGTTTTAGAGTTACGTGTAATAACTAAGATTCTGAGCATTTGCGTAAAAACACATTTTTTGATTTTCACATTTCCAGCTAATCCATGAAGTAATTCTAGAGATTGTAGAGGCTGGGACATGTGGGAGGAGTCGGGATTAGATGGGGGGGCTGTTCGAGGAACATTGTTGTCATTCAGACAGTATCTTTCCTACTTGTCTATTCCATTGTTTTCTTGCTGTGTGTGTTTTTCTTTCTTGATTTCAGGAGAATATCCAGTAACGCTTCAAGTGTTTGTGCCCATTCCCTCTGTCTGTGTGGCAGATTTGTACATTTATAGTGTTTAAGTTAAATTAATCCATTGAACAAATGATGGTAAAAAATGGACAATTCCTGGGAGATATGTGTTATCACTTAATTCTTTAGAAAAACAAACAGGTCACAGGCACTGCCTGTCTGCGAATGATCTTCATGTTTAATCCGGATGGGTAAATGCAGTATGATGCATTTACCATCGTATCTATCATATCATCAACATAATTCATGTCACTTTGAGGTATAAGAATTATGTAAATTAATGGTTGGTGTTGTTGTGATTTAGTGTAAAAGAAACATCTAGCAAACGTGAGCCATGTAATTAAAACTATAAAAAAGCATGAATTAAAACAAATAAATGTGGCTGTGTTATATTGTGTCACTGGGTATGTGTATGTATGATGTGCACATATAGATAAAATAAGGTGTGGGCTGGATGCACACAAAAAATATAACACAATAATCACAATAATTTGGTAATCATAAAATATGCAAATGAATTAGCATGCAAGAGAAGTCATGCTTTGGAATCTAATACTGAAAGACAAAGGAAATTTCCCTTTAAAATAGCTTCTATATATAAGTTCTGCTGCATCTTTCGCATCTCTCACTTTATTTTAATTTTTTTAAAAGTTTAATGCTCAGCTGCAGTCCGCACACAGCATGTAATTATCAGTAAATAAAGTGTAAGACTATGAATGGAACAGCGACGTATCCACAGGAGGCGTGCATGAGTGTGCATTTCTGCATGCAAACTGCAGACTGCACAGAGGCGTGCACAAGTGTGCATTTCTGCATGGAAACTGCAGACTGCACAGAGGCGTGCACGAGTGTGCATTTCTGCATGGAAACTGCAGACTGCACAGAGGCGTGCACGAGTGTGCATTTCTGCATGGAAACTGCAGACTGCACAGAGGCGTGCACGAGTGTGCATTTCTGCATGGAAACTGCAGACTGTTTAAAAGTGGGGGGATGATTCCAAGGCTTTGGAGGTAGAAGCAAAAAAGTGAAGCTGTCTACAGCAGCAGATCAGAAATGGTGATAGATGTAGGTCATGGAGTTGACGGATGAGGGGAATATAGATGAGAAATTATGGCCTGAACGTTAAAAATGAACAGAGGCTCTTAACACTGCGTTTAACAGACCACCATTTTTGAAGTCTGAAGTTTGGAAGGTAACAATGCAGAAAGTGAGGTGAGAGAAGATAGTAATGAGAAGGCTTCGGTATTTGTGAATATTACAGGAAGCATAAAAATTAGAGAAGAGAGGTATAGAAGATCTGCACATCTGAAAATCAGAGCTATAAGAAGACCTCTGCCGTCATGCTATTGTGAAATTTCTACGCTGTGCTGCTTGCTGCTTCTGGGGTCTCATCAGTAACTGTCTTTATATGTAAATGTAGGTGAGGGCATTACTTTGGGTTGAACATTGGGGGGGTTGAGATCCCATTTAAGGGGGTCTAGGGGATGTATTGGCTGGTTTTGATTATTGGGGGGTTACAACCCCTCATTCCCTCATAATTTACACGCATGATTGTAGGTGTAGCTGTGTAAATACTCGCTTAGACCCTATATAACTGTTAACAGAAATGGCAGATTCCTCTTTTTCACAGTCATAATGTGTGTTGTCGTGCTACATTTGTCTTAATGACACGTTTCTTTCTGTAAATGTTGCCTGAAGAACGTACCTTGGATGTGCAATGAGAATTTTTGTGTTATTTTTTTAACACGTGCTATAACAATTTTATTATCATCTCTTCTTTATGTGTTTTCCAGCTTCATGCATGGGGAACTCACCGACAAGGAAACGTGCGAAAAAGTCCAACAAACCTTTGAAAACTATGAGACAAATTCATTTGAGATTCTTATGTACAAGAAGAACAGTAAGTCACCAATTTCTAAAGAAAAAGAAACCAAGATGATCTGATTCCCACAACATTATTAAACATAATTTAACTATCATTTAAATGTAATTTCAACTTTTGGTACTTCTATGGGCTGAACAGCCACAATATCATTACCCATGTTATTCTCACTTTTGTTTTCTGCAGGGATGCCAGTGTGGTTCTTCGTCAAAATTGCCCCCATAAAGAATGAACAGGACAAAGTGGTACTATTTCTGTGCACCTTCAGTGACATCACAGCCTTCAAGCAGCCTATCGAGGATGATTTATCTAAAGGTGGGTCTGGGACACTAACACACAAAGGAACTTCCAGTGAGCTGTTTGTCATGCAGTGTTTATCCATATCTGAACAAGCGTTACAAAAATGCAATGTGAAATACCTTTAGGCTAAGTTTAATTATAAATTCCCATTCCAGAACATCTGATAGACAGCAGTGTACATGTACTTAGAATTCAGCCAGTTTGCTTTGCTTTGTTACAGTATACCCTGAGTGAACAGAATATCAGGGACACCTAATTTTGCACTCTGCTCACTATTCGCTTTTCTATGCATAAATATTAAGTTCATTAAATCATTAGTGATACTTCTTTCCCATTTGATATTTTGCATGTGGGATTCTCTTTAGTCATTTTGAGCTGTTTTTCCACGCACGTGTAATGACTCTTACTTTGAGTTTTTTTGAGTTGGCCTAGTTGATCTCAGCACAGAAATCATTTCAACTTCCAAGTTAATACGGCTGTTTGTTTCTGCTAAGGCTGGGGCAAGCTGGCCCGTCTTACCCGAGCCCTGACGAGCAGCCGGGGGGTCCTACAGCAGCTGGCCCCCGCCGTCCACAGGGGCGAGAATGTGCACAAGCATTCGCGCCTCGCAGAGGTAGGCACACGTTTATCCGTCTATCTCTCTATCTCCGGGATATCGCTCAAACAATCCCGCCCTGGTGCTTGTCTCATCCGACCTCACACACTGTGTTGATGGGCTCTTCTGGAACTCCTCCAGATATAGCGGCATGTTTGACGAGCCTCACTGCCTCTAGGGAATGAGTGGAAAGGAGATAATGTTTGGATGCTGCTGACTGGGCCGCTTGTTTACAGGGTCATCAGTGTTGTGTGGCTCCTCAGAAGATGAGATAAAAAATGCTTGTTTGTTTATCATAATAAGTCATCATGGAAGATATCAATAAAAATATACTGAAATGTAATATGGGATGATTGCAGTAACACTAAGCTTGAATTAATATTGGATAGGGCTGGGAAGTTAATCGAATTTTAATTTCAATTGTGATTTTGATTTCTTATGATTATCAAAACAAAACAGTCAAAATAAAATGATTGCTGCATGTTGTTTCACAATATGTCTTTAAATCCAGCGCACACCTTTCCAACCCCTTTTCATTTGTTTCTCAGTTGAATTATATTTAGAGTTCAAAGATATACACTGTTAATGCAAGTTTTTTTGTTTTTTTTTATAAATACATGATACTTCCAAAGTCAAATACCAATTATTTGACCCAAATAATCGTTACTATGATTTTTGCCATAATCAAGCAGCCCTAGTTTTGGACCAAGATTTTAGAGTCAGTAGTATTTATTTCTTACCCAAAACATTATTATATGAAAACCAGTAAATGTAAGATGAAGAGAAGGTAAGGTTATGGTCAAACATGAATACATCACTCATGACTGCTTTCACAAATTTAAAAGTTGCTAAGAAGTTTAGCTGCTGTTAAATTACAGAAAAAAGAAAACATTTTATAAGGTCTACTGGTAATTATCCATCTATCCATCCATCCATCCATCTTTCAGCCAATTATTCAGCACAGGGTCACGTGGCTTGGGGACACCCTGAATAAAACCCAAGAAATCTCCTCTTGGTTGGTTAAAGCTAAACAGAGGTTGTGAGAATGTGGCTAGAATTCATGTTTATATCCCCACAGGTGTTGCAGCTTGGGTCAGACATCCTCCCACAGTACAAGCAAGAAACACCAAAGACCCCCCCTCACATAATCCTGCACTACTGCACGTTCAAGACCACCTGGGATTGGGTCATCCTCATCCTCACCTTCTACACTGCCATCATGGTGCCCTATAACGTCTCCTTCAAGACCAAGCAGAACAACGTGACCTGGCTGGTGGTGGACAGCATTGTGGACGTGATATTTCTGGTGGACATCGTGCTCAATTTCCACACCACCTTCGTGGGGCCTGCGGGGGAAGTGATATCGGACCCTAAACTCATCCGGATGAATTATGTTAAGACCTGGTTTGTCATTGACCTGCTGTCGTGTTTGCCCTACGATGTCATCAACGCCTTTGAGAATGTAGATGAGGTGAGTCCTCATTCCTGGATTTATTGCACTTCCTTGGTCACTACCACCCTCACTCTACAGATGTTCCTCAACTATGGTGCCAGCCACAAGGTTATTTGTTTGAGCCCCTAGATTATCCTTCATAACAGGGATCAAGCTTTTTTTGAAGATCCATAAATACAAACATTTCTGATTTCCATTCAACAACCATAATTTACAACATTTTAATAATTTATTATGTCAGGTGAATGGTTTCAGCTGGATTAAAGTCGAAATAAACCTTCAAAGTTAAAGTACAGACAGCTCACAGCCACTGTCAGTTTTCTATCATATAGCTTTAGACTTTATTTCTTGAAAGTTTTTTAGACTTTAATCTCAAAAGTTAATTTGAACTTTAAATTATTATAAGCAATTGTGTCTGTCAGCAGATGCCTGGCTAGTTTTGCTGCCCTTAGTTAACACCGTTCAACCTGTTTGCTGAATTTCATTTTACATGGATACCAAAGGCTGTACCACTTAAAATATCCACAACACCTCCTCTGTAATCAGGAGTCTTGATCCTATACAAGTTTTTTTTTAGTTTCACTGTTAACCTTATTGTATGTATCTTCTTTTGGGATTAGCAGGCATCTCTTCCCTACGTCTGTGAAAGATTAACGCCGTTTTTTTTCTCTGGAGTGCTGGGCAACCATCTAAATAAGCTATTACTGGGAAGATTTTATCAATCTGATTAAGCAGACTGACAGGATATGGAAAGACATTTAGCAGTTGATGATGTATAATGTAACTGACCATACATTCTGAGCAAGCATCCTGTTTCAAACATGGTTTGTGCTGATTTTGAGCCCTGTTTCCTCACTGGGAAGAGTTGGGTGTTAGCTAGGCTTGGGCAATGTTACGGTATTACCGTGGTATTTCCATTTAATTTTACCACTGGGCAAGGGGTGTGGTAGCGACCGGGTTTAGCGGATGGTAGTAACTTACACATAACCACACAAAATATGCAAGAAGTTACTGAGACACCCCCCCCCCACACCGGTCAATAAATTTTACCAAGCCCCCACCTCTCTTTAGTCCCTCTGCAGTCAGCCGGCCCCCCCACCAGTTTTCTATTCTGATACGTCGACAGACAAGTTTGGCTGTTCCTATGTTGTGTTTGCAGTTTTCATAATAAAAATTTCAAATAAACAAATGTCAAAACAAATTCGGTTTCCCTGCTGTACTAAAGCTGCACCAAACCCTGAGCCCAAGCAGATTGCCTTACTCCCATCTAGGTGTCTGCTTACTTTATAGAACCCAAAGTTAGCCCAAACTTAAGATTTTAACTGAGATGGTGCAGGTGCAGTCTTTGCCCACACGCGCTCATTTATAATAGCACCGTGTCAAACTCACGTATGTCAGTCCTGTAACAAAATTGGACCGTGTGCACCTGGGCTAATGTATTACAAATAACAAATGTGACCAACATAATTTCAGCAAAGTATGTTTGAATTCATAATTTAATCTAAGAATAACGATTTGTAACTGAATCGATCCCCCCCCCCACCCCTAGTTATATCCTCTATTATAGAAACCCAAGCCTTGTGGAATCCCTTGTCACAGCTCGCTAATGATATCACCTCACCTCAAATCACATTACAGTTTAATCTCGCAATGAGTGAAGTCTGGCCCACTTTGTAGGGCCCTTTGCTGGGTTTTCTCTACACCCAGAGGACAGAAACCACCAGGAGAGGACCTGATTGTCAGCACAGAAATCGATGTGATTTCGCTTTCTTGAAGGTAGATCCATAGCACGGGAGATGTTCTCCATCTTCTAAAAATAAGATGAGTTCTTCTTCGCATGTGCCGCAGTTCCAGTTGATTTCCAACTACCCCTAGTAGATCTAGAGCCCAGTTTAAAGTGTTTTCAAAACATACTGCAGAAGGGAGATGAGCTTCACTTGTCATTGGATGTTCTTTGGCGGTGGATCTGTTAACCAAGATCTGGCAAGGCCTGTGAAAGAAGTAAAGGCTGTGTAGAATATTTTCATCATATAACAAGATACTTTAGCAGAGGATGGTTTTGACCCATCAACCTCTGGGTTATGGGTCCAGCATGCTGCCACTGCCCCACTCTGCTCCACATCATATATAATGTTGTAGTGTACCACAGAGCCATGGGTCACTGGTGCTTCCCCCCCCAATCTCCCTCCCCAGGGAATCAGCAGCCTGTTCAGCTCCCTCAAGGTGGTCCGGCTGCTCCGTCTGGGCCGTGTGGCCCGCAAGCTGGACCACTACATTGAGTATGGCGCCGCCGTGCTGGTGCTGCTGGTGTGTGTGTTCGGGCTGGCCGCCCACTGGCTGGCCTGCATCTGGTACAGCATCGGCGACTATGAGGTCATCGACGAGGACACCAATATGGTGCGCATCGACAGCTGGCTCTACCTGCTGGGTGAGACCGTGGGCACGCCGTATCGCTTCAACGTCACCGGCTCCGGCAAGTGGGAGGGAGGGCCCACTAAGGATTCGGTCTACATCACCTCCCTCTACTTCACCATGACCAGCCTCACCAGCATCGGATTTGGGAACATCGCGCCAACCACCGACGGCGAGAAGATCTTTGCGGTGGCTATGATGATGATCGGATGTGAGTAATCAGCATCCACTTACGCTTCTATGGGCTGTTATGACACGGTCGTCGTCAAGTGGCATGGATGATCTCTCCTGTACGTGTTGTTCAATATTTTAACAAAAATAAGAAGTCCTGGAAAACCAGACCCACACACAACACCCCTAATTATCGCTGAAGGAGAAAAATAGTTATCAGTATATTTGAGGCCACTTAATATGTATGATAAATACACTGCTCAAAAAAATTAAAGGAACACTTCTTCATCAGAGTATAGTATCAAGTCAATTAAACTTCTCGAATATTGATCTGGTCACTTAAGTAGCAGAGGGGGTTCTTAATCAGTTTCAGCTGCTTTGGTGTTAATGAAATTAACAACAGGTGCACTAGAGGGGCAACAATGACACGACCCCCAAAACAGGAATGGTTTAACAGTTGGAGACCATTGACATTTTCCCCATCTCATCTTTTCTGACTGTTTTTTTCCACTAGTTTTGTATTTGGCTACGGTCTGTGTCACTACTGGTAGCATGAGGCGATACCTGGACCCTACAGAGGTTGCACAGGTAGTCCAACTCCTCCAGGATGGTGCATCAATATGTGCCATTGCCAGAAGGTTTGCTGTGTCTCCCAGCACAGTCTCAAGGGCATGGAGGAGATTCCAGGAGACAGGCAGTTACTCTAGGAGAGATGGACAGGGCCGTAGAAGGTCCTTAACCCATCAGCAGGACCAGTATCTGCTCCTTTTGTGCAAGGAGGAACAGGATGAGCACTGCCAGAGCCCTATAAAATGACCTCCAGCAGGCCACTGGTGTGAATGTCTCTGACCAAACAATCAGAAACAGATTTCATGAGGATGGCCTGAGGGCCCGACGTCCTCTAGTGGACGCTGTGGAGCTGGATTGGCATTTGCCATAGAATACCAGAATTGGCAGGTCCACCACTGGCACCCTGTGCTTTTCTCAGATGAAAGCAGGTTCACCCTGAGCACATGTGACAGATATGAAAGGGTCTGGAGAAGCCATGGAGAATGTTATGTTTTGGTGGTGGGTCAGTGATGGTCAGGGGAGGCATATCCATGGAGGGACACACAGACCTCTACAGGCTAGACAACGGCACCTTGACTGCCATTAGGTATCGGGATGAAATCCTTGGGCCCATTGTCAGACCCTATGCTGGTGCAGTGGGTCCTGGGTTCCTCCTGGTGCACGACAATGCCCGACCTCATGTGGCGAGAATATGCAGGCAGTTCCTGGAGGATGAAGGAATTGATACCATTGACTGGCCCCCACGTTCATATGACCTAAATCCAATAGAACACCTCTGGGACATTATGTTTCGGTCCAGATGCATCCTGGTGCCTCCAGGTTGCATCTCAGACTCACCAGGAGCTCAGTGATGCCCTGGTCCAGGTCTGGGAGGAGATCCACCAGGACACCATCCATCGTCTCATTAGGAGCAGCCCCGACATTGTCAGGCATGCATACAAGCACGTGGGTGCCATACAAACTACTGAGTACGATTTTAAGTTGCTGCAATGAAATTTTGGTAAAATGGACTAGCCTGCCGCATCATTTTTTCACTTTGATTTTCGGGGTGTCTTTGAATGTAGCCCTCTGTATGGTTGATAATTTTCATTTCCATCAAACAATGTGGCATCCTTTCATTCCTAACACATTACGCTGTCCATATCAGAATAGAAATCCAGCATGTTTTTTTCCAGTTGAGATCTGATGTGTTTTCAAAGTGTTCCTTTAATTTTTTTGAGCAGTATATGTACATGAATATAGCAGACTTCACCTGCCACCTGTCAAATTGCTTAAACTGTTAAGGCAATTTGAAGCATGTTTTCAGATTTCAGCTTTTCTTTTGAGAAAAATGCTTTTCCTACAGTAGTATTGCAGTGGTGGTTAGCACCCTCTTGCTACCCAGGCACTAGCTGCTAGCATTTTAAGACTCCCTGTTTCCAAACGATTATGTTCTCCAGGTCACTTGCATCCTCCTGTGTTGGTGCTATTTGACAATCTGATCGGGCAGGAATGAGACAGCAAATGAAGCTGCCTGGTATAGACTTGTGTTGCAGCCCCCCCCCCCCCTCCCCGCTTACAGCTCTGTGCAGTAACTCTGAAGGGTCATTAAATTATCAGGCTCTCCGCTGGTCTGAGCTCCAGGGTCCTGCTGTCAGAAAGCCCTGGGCACTCATGACCTTGCTGGCTGGCCTCTGTAATCACACACCCTGTCAGTTCATATTTTTGCTCCATGTAGCACCAACTGGGCCTTAAACACTATAAACAGAGTGAATCCATCCATCCGTCTGTCCATCCATCCATCCATCCATCTGCCTCTCCTGCTCAGGGTGACAGGAACAGTAAATCCCTTCCCAAGAAGCTGTTTTTAAGGAAGGTAATTTGTTTCTTTGACTGAATGGCAAACTTGAATTACCTGAAGGGCATTGATCAGATGAGCCGAGGTGGCCGCTGTGGGAGCTGTAACCCTTACGAAGCATGTTCCCTGGATTGGTCTGGCAGTGCTCTGTCAGCACTGTGTGCCATTGACACTGTCGTGCCTCTGATGCCTTTGCGATACGATCTTACGCTTCCTGTGGTGCTGCGGCCCAAGCGCTGCTGTGATTCACTCTCTTTGGAGAGCCTTACAGGAGAGCCTTTAATGTGGCTCTGGTGCGTTTGTGCTAATGTTTGTCATAAATTTAGCTGTATTATTCTTGCAGACTAGTGTTACCTTAGGGTTGTCTTATTCATGGTCTCATAGTCACAGCGTAGCAAATAAAAAAATAAGGCTGTGCAGGTGCTGATCATACCATTGAAAATGTGGGGTGAAGTTGCTTTGTGAGGACTATACCATTTGTAGGGCAGGGTGAAGTTGCTTTATAAGAGCATAAGAAATTTACAAATGAGAGGAGGCCATTCGGTTTATCAAGGTCTTTTGGGAAGAACTTTACTAATAGCTCAGAGCTGTTAAAATCTTATCTAGCTCTGCTTTAAAGGAACCCAGGGTTTTAGCTTGCTCTGCACTAACAGGAAGACTATTCCATACTCAAACTACACGCTGTGTAAAGAAGTGCTTTCTCAAATTCATTTTAAAATGTTCTCCCGCTAATTTCCACTAATGGCCATGAGTTCTAGTATTTAAATTAATATAGAAGTAGCAATGCCCGCAGTGGCCTTGGGCAGACAGTCATGTGTGGTGACAGCAGCGGTAGAAGTGCCAGGATTCTCTCAAGCAGGCTGTCCACAGCCAGGAGCTCGGGTCATGTGACCTGACTCCTGCTGCCATGCAATTGAACATGAACTAGTCATCGTGTGAAATAAAATGTATTATTATCTTTTTATCTTATATCTTGCTTCATCAGTAGTCTAGAATACCGTCGATTAGACCTGATAGTTATCATTTTCCTTTGTTAACTTGGTTAGGTTTAGCATTTAGTATTATCTAAATTAGTGTTGATCAGACCTGACGGTCAGTCATTGAAAGTATACTCACCTTCAGCATCACAGTGTGGTATGCGGGATGCTCAGCAGCAGACAGGAAGGCTCTGCAGAGGGTCATTAACACAGCCCAAAAGACCATAGTCCGCCCTCTGCCCTCCCTGGCAGAGCTTGCCAACTCCCGCTGCCTCTCCAGGTCCAGGTTTATTCTCAAAGACTCACCCACCCAGCCCACCACCTGTTCAACCCGCTTCCCTCCGGCAGGCGGTTCAGGTCAAAAAACGCCTGCACTACAAGACTTTCCAACAGCTTTTTTCCCTGGCCATACGTTCACTTAACAAAAGCAATATCCCTCTGCAGACATTGGCCACCCACCACCCCAACAGGTGGTGGGTGGAGTAGTGTAATGGAGTAGTGTAGTGGAGTAGTGTTCTTTTAAGGTTCAGGCCGAACTTACAGGTGTGTCACTCTCTCAGTCACTTTGGGTTAGCTAAAAACTTTCAGTGTCTCTGTCTTTAGGAGGGTGCTGTGTGGCTGGGGGGGCTAAGCCTGTGTGCCTGTGATCTGAAGGCCCAGTCGTGTCTCTGGGGCCCTTAACCCCCAGCTCCCTGGGCACTGCATGGTGGATGCCCCTTTGCTGTGACCCCCAAGCTTGCCCTTCCCTGTATGGAGAACAGGATGGGGCATATAAATGAACTGATCTGGGACAAATGTAGTTTTCATATTCTATCCAGTTGTTTGCCACTTCGTCACTTCGTAAGTTACATTGATCATTAATGCAACCAGCTTGCTGCTGCAATGAGGGAATCACTTGACTGCAACTCAACAAATAAAGCATGCAAGCAGGCTTTAGTCATCCATTTGATTAAAACCAGCGAGACACTTGACCTAAGAAGATTGATTGCTGGTGCTTAGCATGCTTGTTCCAGTATCTCAGATGTACCTTTCTGGCATTTTCCTGTGATTGCAGGTGCAATACACAAAAAATGAGAGAGGTTAATGAGAGAGGTCAGGGGAGAATGGTCACATTTATTAAAGCTAACAGGAAGGGCACAAATACAAAAGTAACAGCTCAGTAGACCAATATTGTGCAGAAAGGAAAAGCTCATTGAACCTTGAAGAGGATGTCGCAAAGCAGGCGTCACCTCAAGGTGCCTCAAGGATCCTGGTTTGATTTGGATGACAGTGTCTTCACTTTCCTCTAGTGGCTGACAAAGTGTGCAGATCTCATCCCGAAAGAGCAGACTGGGGGTTATGCTGCTGGGATATGCTGCTTTTATTTGTAAATTTGAAGATAAGAAACAACGCTTTCCTGTGACCCTGATCAAGATAAACGGTTAGAAGATGGATGGATGGATGGATGGATGGATTGTTTTAATTACATTCATTTATTTGTGTCAAGCTGACCTTGAATGTATTGATAGTGTAAATTATGATACTCTCTGAAAAAGGTAGTCCCGAGTTGATAATTTTGTTATTCCTCTGCAATAATAGTAACTATTTGTCAATTCTGTGTGCTATTAAACAGGCAGAATGTCACATAATGTTATACTATTTAACCGCTATAATGAT